CCCTATGACTCCTCATGATTGCACCGGCAGTGTGCTTCTTCCATGTGGACTTGTTGCTTCTCTGCTGAATGACGGCTTGTATAACTTCAAGCCTTTAAGACCCTAGATGTTATATCTTTTAATAGCTGGGCACCATCCGCCTTCTTCACCACATTTGCTTATGCACCCATTTTGTATTCAGCGACCAGAGTGTTTTAAATTCTATACCATTGGCTAAATTAATGCCATTATCAACAGAATTACCTTAGACCCCAGTTGGATGATTTATAATGTTCTTTATTATAAAATGATAATGATGTCTCTAAAGTAAATCAAAGACATATATAAACCATAGATATATGAATGAATTTGAGATGCATGCTTAATTATAGCCCTAATCCAGCGGTTCTCAACCTGTGTTAAATGACCCTTTTACAGAGGTCATTCAATTCATAACAGTAGCAACATTACAGTTATGAAGGAGCAACAAAAACAATTTTATGGTTTGGGGGGGTCGCCACAACATGAGGAACTGTATTAAAGGGTCACGGCATTAGGAAGGTTGAGAACCACTGCACTAATCTCAGAACAATTAGTTCTTATGACATGATTCGATACTCATGAAGAGATCACTGAAGAGGAGTACGATAGCAAAGTGTGGCAAAGAAACCAGATGGTTCCTAGCTATCAGAAAGAATAGTGTCTGGGGTCTAAAATCTTTCCTTCAAACAAGCAGCCATCTAAGTGAGGCATCAATTAAGTCTATTTGGAAGAAGAACACCAACTTGTGTGATCCCAAGATTATAAATAATAAAATCCAAATCTGAAGGAGGGAACAGTATCAGAGCTTAAACTCTGAATACCCCATTTGCAGAAGGCTATGATACAATGGGAGCCCCAAACCCACTTGTCGGGTCTCCACATGAATTAAGCCTTCCAGGGATGTGAACGACCTTGCTGTCAGATAGAGAGCACTGTAAAGTCAATTATGGCAGATGTAGTTAGGTTGAAATGTAGCACCTTATCATTTGATCTCCCTTTTGATCCATTTAAAAATGTCACTTTTTAGTATTTTCTGCTTTCTCTTTGTTGAGTTTTTTTTCTAGTCATTTTTTGCTTCCTGTTTGTGTTTTGTATCATTTTCTATATATGAAATGCAGAATATGTAAGTCTATAGATACAGTTACTGGATTAATAATTACCAAAGGGCATACCAGGGGAGGTTAGGGGGGAAATAACATGCTAACAACAATGAGTTTGAGAAGAAAATGTTCTGAAATTGATTGTAAAAAATGTTCTGTAATGATTGTACAACTCTTCTTAATATGCTTGAATGAATAATGTGTATGACGTGAAAAAATACCATCATATTCTGTGTGTGTGTCAATTTTAGGTAATGTGTGACATGGATTACAGAAGAGGTGGATGGACTGTGATACAAAAGAGGATTGATGGAGCCATTGATTTCCAAAGGTTATGGTGTGACTATCTGGATGGATTTGGTGATCTTTTAGGTCAGATTTTATGTACCCATATTTCTCCTTTCTTTATATTTTTCTTTTTACTAAAAAGGAGAAAACTATGGACCATGTGATCACATGTCTAATAAAACAGGTTAAATTCTCATAAATATATAAATATGGGTCAATAACTCTTTTGTTATTGGGTATTTGGCTGGGATACAGCTCTTTATATATATTTGTTGAAATGTAATAATTTGAGTGAAAAATCTAAACTGGAAATTTATTAGAAATGGATGGTGAACCCTATGAATCAAACCCAACCCACTGTCATCGAGTCAATTCTGACGTGTAGAGGCTGCACGTAGGGTTTCAGAGACTGCAACTGTTACTGTCGCAGACGACCTCGTCTTCCACTTGCAAAGTGACTGGTGGGCTTGAACTGGTTACTTTGCAGTTAGCATTCCACTACTTATCCAAGTGTCTCTATAGGGGTCATTAGGTTTGGGATTGATTTAATGGGAGTGAATTCTGTTTTTGTTTACTGTGCTCGCAGCAGTGTTCTGTCACATTGTAAGTCCTCAC